CCCCCCCCCCAACCCCTAATCCATCTGCTAATGTGATTTTTATAAGTGTAGAGTTGTTTTATTCAATATACTAATCCTGCATCAAATAAAAAATATCCATAAAATTAAATATATATTTAAAATATATATTTTTTTTTATTTCTGTACTAAATTTCAAGTTAATTCTTTTTTTCCAAAGATATATTTGTTAATTATTTATTTATTAATTGATTTCCATAAATTAAATGAGATTTTTATCTTATTTATTTCATTTAAGGTTTATTAATTTATTTGTAATTCAAAATGTATTTATTACTTTTCAAGATTTCTCCATAAAATGACACAAAGTTTCTTTAGGTTATTTTTTTATTTATCTATGTTTCTTATTCTTTTTTTTTTTTTTATCAAAATAAATTTGTTAATTCCACATTTTATGTATTTATTTTCAAGATATTAATATTTCTTTTTTGTACGTTTTATTATAGCTTTGTCATGTGCTCCCAGGACTTTTATTTTGTTAATCCCATTGATATTTCAGGGTCTTTTTTTATTTCATGTTTCTATATTCAGATAAAGGGGCGGAGCAGTTAGAGGCGAACGCAGCAGTTCTGCACTTAGACTCAAAGCATAAACTGAGTAAACCCTTCGATGGCTTCACAGTCCTTCAGCGCCTCTTATCAACCATGCAACACGTGAGCTGAAGCTCTGGGCTGACAGAACCGAACCTGGCAGCCACATTAATGATGTGTTGCGCTCAGGTTTAGCTCCTCACATTATTAATCCGGGCCGATCCCGTTGAATCCCTTTGGAGAAAGGAGAGACATTCAGCAGAACCAAAGTTTGATTTTAACCAATCAGAGTTACTGATGAAACAGCAGCAGACGCCATTAAAAACCGAAACTTATGCTTTTATGCTCTTGCTGTTCCTCTTTGAGATTAAATCTCTGATTCCGATCGAACAGCAGAGGTGTCAAAAGTATTAATGTTTATTACTTCAGTAGAAATATAAATCCTGCTGTTTAAAAACACTTTTGTAGAAGTTAGAGGATCAACTTTAGCTTTTTACTCCAGTAAAAGTGTAAAAGTACCATTTTTAAAACTACTTAAAGTATAAAAGTAAAAGTAATGCAAGAAAAAATATTAAGGCCAGAAGCTTTACTGCTTTACCCTATTAAAGGGATATTTTTCTACATTCTGGATGATAACTTCCTTAGATGTCATTTTCTTAGTTTTATAACTAATAGTAACACTGTCACATTTAACTTTGCATCATCTTGAAAAACTATTTGCTTTGCTATGTGGTGAACAACAAGTTGGGGCAGCACCGAGTCCAACCATAAAGAAATTGTCTGGATGAAGCTAATTATTTTGATGATTTTTTTCTAATACCAACAGGCCATGATGAAAATGAGCTTAAATGAAACAAAATGAGTCTATTTTTAGAATGTGAGGAGTAGAACGTTGAGATAATTGCAAAAAAATGTAAGGAGTAGAAGTAAAAAGTTGTCTTAAAATAATGATGCCAGTGAAGTATAGATAGCCAAACCTTCCACTTAAGTAAGGGAAAAAAACNATATCAAAAAAGTACTCCAGAGTGTTGTTCAGCATGGGGGTGAGTAGAAAATGAAGGCTAATCATGTTTTGGGTGTACTATTCCTTTGAAAACTGAAACTTATGCTTTTATGCTCTTGCTGTTCCTCTTTCAGAGATTAAATCTCTGATTCTGATCGAACAGCAGAGGTGTCAAAAGTATTCATGTTTATTACTTCAGTAGAAATATAAATCCTGCTGTTTAAAAACACTTTTATAGAAGTTAGAGGATCAACTTTAGCTTTTTACTCCAGTAAAAGTGTAAAAGTACCATTTTTAAAACTACTTAAAGTATAAAAGTAAAAGTTATGCAGGAAAAAATATTAAGGCCAGAAGCTTTACTGCTTTACCCTATTAAAGGGATATTTTTCTACAATTCTGGATGATAACTTCCTTAGATTTCATTTTCTTAGTTTTATAACTATTTAACTTTGCATCATCTTGGAAAAACTATTTGCTTTGGTATGTGGTGAACAACAAGTTGGGGCAGCACCGAGTCCAACCATAAAGAAATTGTCTCGATGAAGCAAATTATTTTGATACCAACAGGCCATGATGAAAATGAGCTTAAATGAAACAAAATGAGTCTATTTTTGGAATGTAAGGAGTAGAACGTTGAGATAATTGCAAAAAAATGTAAGGAGTAGAAGTAAAAAGTTGTGTAAAAATAATGATGCCAGTGAAATATAGATAGCCAAACCTTCCACTTAAGTAAGGAAAAAAAGTATTTTTACTTTGTAACTTACCAGCTCTGCCGAACAGATATGACGGCAGCCGCTGGGTGATTCTCTGAATTGCTCAAATATACCACAAAAAAATGCTTCTTTATTTTAACAAAGATGGCTCCCTTCTCCCCTCTATCAAACCATCTGTCCTCTCTGTCCGAAATGTTAACATTTTGACAGGTGTGTCCTTTATTCTTGAGGTCCAAGCGTCCAGCTAAATGTTGCCCAGAGCTGCTGGCTCTCCTACGCTGCTCCATGCGTTTGTGTTTTTGTTGATGCAATGTTATTGTTCCTTTTTTTCACCTACCTAACAAAGGCAAATTCCGATTACCACATGTTTCAAGTGATTTCCTGACATGTTTCTCTTCTTTTATTTTCTCCTCTGTCCCTGAGGGAGTTTTGATTACACAAACATTTGTGTTGCAGTGGGTGGTTTGAGTCAAAATCAAGGTTGGATTCACACTTTGACTCACATCTCCCACTGCAAGACAAACCTTCTTATAAAACCGATCATAAAACATTATTTAGAGAAAATGGGCTGGTTCAGCAATGATTCATCCCCATATCAGTGTTTTTTGCTATGATGTTTAGGATTTGAGCCAAAAGTAACGATAAGTTACTTTTGAATCTGTTGTATACACCCAAAATAAAAAAAAATACATAGAAATTTTAGCGTAACTAAATCTTGAGTGATATGAAGGACTGAATAAGCTCCTTTTTAATGCAGTTATTTCCTGTTCATTGTACAGAGCAGATATGAGTTAATATACTGCAAAAAGCTTCATACATTTTAAATTCAGTTAATGGTTCTTATCTTAGAATAAATCCGTTATGTGCAGCAAATAACCTGGAAGTCCTTACTTGTCTAACGAGTGTCTCTCCAGGTTGGAACCCAGAGCTTTCGGTAAAAAAATAAGGCTTTTCTGCCTCAGACTCTGAATTTAGTTCAATTATTCTTGTGAATTCTAAGCAGAAGAAAGGGGAATGATTTACGAAAGAAAGGGAAAGTTTAACGGCTTCTGCAGATTGCTGCATGTTGAGCTGCCAAAGCAGAACGGTACTGCTTTTACACCTCAACATGCAGCAATCTTTGCAATCGAAGCACGTCAGACTCATCACTGCAGTTTATAGAGGACTGCAGCAGTCAGGATTAAGTTTACATCTGCAGGTTTTAGAGACGTCTTTCCTTTTCTGTTTTCTATTAAGTTAAAAAAGAATGGAAATCTGGAAAAAACATGCAACCATTAAAAATGACATGTTCAATACCTCTAAATAAAAAAGGGGCTGATCAGAAAAAAATAACAAAAAAATCTAATTTAAAAATAAAAAAAAATCTGTTTAAAAGAAAACTTTTTTATGAATAAAAAAGTAATTATAGATACTCTCAAAATATATTTTTTATTGGAACTTATTTTAGACTTTCCTTTCTTGGTTTTATTTGTTTTTCCTTTTGAATTCACATTTACAAAAAATGTTCTCTGCTTGAAACGATAATGGAACAAAACTGACTCTAAAGCTCAGACCTGATCTGACCAATTGATAACCCTGTTTTAACGATAAATAAGCCCCCACAGGAGCTACTTTTATATCAAACCACACTCAGAGCTTCCTCTCACTTTATTTGAAACACCTTTCTGACGCTCAAAGACACTCAGTGTTTCCAAGCTGAGGAAACTCATTAGGAAACTCATTTCCCCTCCGTCATCTGTTCTTCTTTGAAGTCGCTTTAGTTTGCCGCAATTTGATGTTGTCTTCAAGCTTCTCCATTTCTTTTTTAACAGTGAAAGTCTAATTTGTACAAAAAAATTAAAAAAAATCTTTCAATATTGAAATCAAACTACATTTAGAAACTGTTCACTCTTGTACAAATGACAGTTTTGAATTTTAAGCATTTGCTCAGATTAATTGACGTTAATCACATTAGGATACTGATTTAGGACTTCCTTCTAGGTCTGAAAATATGAATGAGAAATCTAATCGGAGTGTATTCTGTGTTCTTCTTCACAGCCAACCTCTTCCTCCTCTTCTCCTCCACCCTGGGCTCCAAGATGGCGGGGCCCCACACCCAGTTTGTGCAGAGTTTTATTGAGGAGTGCGTGGAGTGCCTGGAGCAGGGAAGCCGTGGGAGCATCCTGCAGTTCATGCCTTTTACAATGGTGAGTTATGAGCCGGGAGGAACGGCAGTTCCAGTTACGCCAGGATTTACTGGGAAGGCTTTGGAATTCCTCCTTAAATGTAGGTTTGAAAAAATGCAAAGACAGAATCAGAAGGTCATTAATCAGTGATGCTAAATTTATTTGGCCAAGTTTGAAAGTAAATCCAATAAAGCATAAGAATGCGAAAGGGGCTGACTTATAACTCTGACTCACTGCTGTAAAAATGTGCTGATAAATCCTCTCTGGTGCGTTAGATAAAGCCCAGTTTCTAAAGAGGAAGGTAATGTGAACCATCTGCAGAAACAGACAACAGCTGGGATGATGCAAACCTTAGTCATACAAAACTATACATTTCTTTTAATGTCAGTACCTTTTTTACCTAAAGCTTTTTTTTTTTAAAAAAGAAACCAAACATAAACTCGCTGCTTATCAAAATAAGCTCCTCTTTTTCAACATGTTTTAGAACTTCTTTTTTCTCCCATTAATGAGCTTTAGAATAGATTCTAATGAAGCTTTTCTCTTTCCAGACTAATGCAGTCCTCCTTTTACTTTCTTTTCTACGTCGAAAAAATCTTTTTTCCCTTTTGAAATTAACGTTAAATGATTTAAAGATAAAACATGTGGAAACAGGCCTGAGGGTAAACTGAACAGGAGTTGAACCTCTGTCCTGCAGCAATGCACCGTTATTGGCAGAGGCAATGGCTCACTTTTACTTCTGTAAAGATTTCTTTTATGGTGGATGCCAAGCATTTATATTTTAAGTTATAATAAAGAATTCTGATTCTGATTCTGATTATAAAGAGAGAAAAAAAGGAAATATTTCCAGCAGGGACTCAGTCCATCATGTAACCTTTTGTGTGCAGCTTATAGGGATAATTTAAACAATAAACAGAGGGCTGGGGGGGGGGGATAAGATAACTGTTGAGTATAAATGGTACCCAGAAATAAACCAGACCACACCAGACACAACCGAACCGCACTAAACAGGTACTAGTTCATCAGTAGGGCTCACCGCGGTTCAGTTCTGGCTCAGTTCTCTGATAGCAAAGGTCGCATGAGCAGACCGCCTCATCTCCTTATAGTCAGCCTCTGTAATCATGGAATCTCAGACATTCATAAAAATACTAGCTTCCTTAACGTGCCAGTCAATTTCCAGTGATGATTCTGCTTAGCAGGGTGATGAACCTCAACGTCTGTCGATGTTTCCTTCGTCTGTAAGCCCTGATTAGACTATCGTTTGTCGTATCCACTTCCCAAAAGCCGACCCTGTCAGTAAATTCACCAAAGGCTGCCTTCTTCACCTGACTCTCCGCAAACAACGAAATATCCCAATTATAATCAAACTTCCTGAATGTTACGGGCGCCGCCATGTTGGTTTGGGACATGGCGCCGGGGAACCGTGCCAGCGTGGTGTGTAAACTGTCTTAAGGTACCAAGCTCAGCACTGTTAACCCTTTAAAGCCCGATCCAAGAATAAAACAAAACAGAAAATTACTTTTTTTGGTTTGAATTCCTTATTTGGCTTTTTAACAAAATATGTAAAAAGAAAAAACAGAAATAAATTTTTGATATTAATAATTTATTACTATGCGATAAGTCAAGATTATTTTTTGTGTAGTCTTCTGCCCTCTGTTATCAGGTAGATCTGATTGTGTACAATAGGATTTTGAGCAAAGTTTTTACCATTAAATTATGCAAAAGGTGTCAGACGCAAAACATTTCAGAAACCGTATGTATCAAATACGATACATTTGGCATTATAGGGTTAACTGATCCAAGTTCGGCAGGGATCGGTTTTTTAGAGGATGGTCTAAACTGGGCTTTAAGTGTGAGTGGATGACAGAGTCTGAAGGGCAGAGTTCACATTTTTAGAGCAATTTTCTCACTTTTATCTGCAAATAATGATGTAAATGTGTTTAAAATATTGTTTCTGTGGCCGTTTATGTTCATTAAAATTCAGCTAGTCGCCCTAATGTGTCATTTGACAAACAAACCCACGGCTTTGCTGCAACGCCAAAGTCTGATCAAGACCTTTTACGGCTGCATTTTAATTAATTTGTAGTCCATGAATTATGTCCAGCCGTTGAAGAATCTCACTGGTAAACGATTTCTGTCAAAAAATGTGAGGATACTAAGTGATTGCTTCATTAAGTTCTTAGTTTTCATTGCAACATCGCTCCATCGCGGTCCCGAGCGTGCTGTTATGCTAGAAGAAAAGCACTGCTGCATTATGGGTAATTCTGGCAGTCACGCATCATTATTGACAGAATTTCAGCATAACAGGGACATGAATGGATTTTAGGAATATTAAGAATCCTTATTATTTGGTCTAAAGATGGATGACCCCTGATGTTTGAATTTAAACCCCCAATAATTCACCTTTAAGTTGACAAAGTGTGAGGGGATGTGAATACTTTCACCTAACAGTGTGTGAGAAATGAATGATTTGTGTTTTTATTTTTCCAGGTCTCTGAGCTGGTGAAGCTGCCGGCTCTGGCCAAGCCTAAAGTGGTCCTGGCCATCACTGACCTCAGTCTGCCTCTGGGGAGGAGAGTCGCTGCCAAAGCCGTCGCTGCTCTCTGAACTCTTCCAGTTTCTACTTCCTGCTGCGTCCCGCTCTCTACTTGGACTCAGCTGATATGTTCAGAGAATTGAAATAGAGACGAAGGTCAAACCATAAACCCTAACTGAGAGGAAAGGACTGCAGCTGGATCAGCTAAATTAGCGGACGTCTCCATTTCCTTCCCCTTTTAGCTGACTGAATGGTACGCAGGGGCAGGCGCCATGTTTAACAGCAACGCTGGAAGTTAGTCCCATTTGCATTTCCATTTGGGTAAATTATTTTCTCTCAATCGTTTAAAGTCAATAAAAGATTTTCTTTTCATTCCAATTTCAACCTTTTTTTATATAAATATTTCTTGTACCCTTTGTTTACTTATTTCCTGTATTTTTGCCAATAAAGTTCGAAAACAAACAAACAAAATATAATATTATTGTTGCAGCAGAGAACATGTTTTGGAAAAACAATCTAGAAATAAAGCTTTGAAAAACATCTTAATTTAAAAAGGTTTAAGACTAACTTTGATGTTTTCTCAGATTTTATTTTTTCGATTTATTTTTTTATACTTTCGTTTAGCAGAATTAATTTTTTCCCTTTTTTGCAGCGGTGAAGATATTAATATGTTGGTCTGCATGGTTTTGGGCAACAACATTGATGAAAATTGGATGATTTAAAAAGAAAGCAAATTCTAAGACTAAATCTGAAATATCAAAAATAAAATTTGAAACCTATTGAAAAGATTTGAAAATATCACATTTGAAAATGTAAAATTGGAAAATATAAATGCTGTAAAAAAAAAAAAAAAAAAAAAGGGAAAAAAATTTGAATTTTTAAGAAGAATATTTGAAAACATAAAATCAAAGAAATTCGCAAATTCCTCTTAAATTTTTTTTTGTTTTTTTTTATTCTGAAATATCCCAAAGCTTTACTTCTGGATTAGATTCCCTTTCACTAAAAGTTGTATTTTTTTGGTTTTCTTGCAGCAATAATAGCACAAATTTCACTCTAAAGGTTTAGTTTGAATTTATTTGCTCTAGTTTGTTTCACTTTCTTAAACATTTAATATTTTTTTACTATATTTTTAATAGTTTTTCAAATATTTATAGTTTTTTGTTTCCTGTTTTTAATCATAATCCCAGATCCTAGATGTGACAAGTAGTTTCTTTTTCTTTCAGTTTTTACTTAAAGTGAAGGTTTTTTCTACACTTGTTGAAATGTTGCTTCTGTGAAAACGCCAGATGTCTTAATCAGCTTCTTAGTCACATGTTGAGTTTTTTTTTTTTCACATGATGGAATCATTCACCCAGTGACGCTGCAGGTCATCTGCCACTTAAGTCACACCGTCTGCATGATGCTGCAGCCTCTGTTTCACTTTTTGTTGCGTTTCTGATCGCTTCACTGGAATTTCAAAAACCTGTGTCACTTCCTGTCGAGTCATTTTCAAAGAGGAACTATTATGTTATCAGGAGAAACAAGTTTTGTTTGTTTTGTTTTTTTTATTGGGACATCAAAGAAATAAAAACATGAAATAGCAATACAAAAATAATATTTTCTCCTGCAACACATTATTAATCGATTGACATGTTTTCTTACACTGAAGGTAAACTGACTCTAAAACAAGTCATTTACTGAAAAAAACAACCTCACATTTAAGATAAAACAACTCGTAATGCATAGATTCATATTCATCTATATTGTTTTACATTTTGCCATTTATATATTTTTTTTTGCTAAATATCAAACATTTGTTTTTGTTTTTACGAAATGTTAAGATATTGAAAGCATCTCTTTTCGATTAATAAAAATATTGATCAATTACTTAAATTATCAATAGCTGTAGTTCTAAACATGTGAATCCTAAAAGCTGGCAGGTTGTTTAAAAATACACACAGGCCACTTTATTAGGTACACCTGTCCAACTGCTCG